GAGGAAGAGACACTGTCATCCAGGAAGGCAGCGCCATCATTCCAGTAGTTGGTACGCGAGCAAGTGTTGGCCAAACGGAACCCACACGGGCAGGAGGCACTCAAGACTAAACAAGACCAGATGAGTTCGACATATCGCCAACACCAACAACGTCAGTTGTTCGAGAAGGAATCCGCTAGTGAGTATGTACAGACCCCTTGACGTACAGAGACCACACTATGCACACCAACGGCGAGTGGGCAAGAACAATCTTCGAAGCCAGCGGAGACAACGATGCCTACACCTCCTCCTACACCGGCGAGTATTGAAAAGAGCCACCAGGTGTTACACGCACGTATACTACACTTGAGCGATGAATTATTTCAAGCTATAGAGGATGACAACACGGCTCGGGCTGAAGCCCTTAGGGGTGCGATTGAGACACTCCGAGCCACGCTAGAGGCCCGACCAGTGGAGAAACGTCCAGTACCATCACCACGGACATGGCCGGACTGGCCTTCGAACAGATATCACCTCCATGATATCATGGAACGGGATACGAGAGGGGCTCTACTGGAGGCTTTTAAGAATGCGCAGATCGCAGGGTTAGACGAAAGATGGAGCCTCACATGGTTTCACAAGGTGTTATCTTACTCTAAAGCGGAAAAGTCCACATTGGACTACACACGCGACAACTCTGAACAATTGAAGATGTGGACCCCACAACTACAAATCGAACAGATCTGCTCCCACGAGACGCAAGCCACTGTGGATCCCGCATTTCGCAAGCTTGCCAAGGGTCACAGTCGTAATATGCACATTCCTATTATGGAACAGATGACACAGCTGATGGAGAACCATAGAAGGGCACGTGAACGGTGCCAGACGGATGCAGATTTTCAGCAGAACCTACTAAACCATTGCATAGTTCAACTGTTAGAGGAGGCCCTCAACGGCCATACGTACGAACGCACTTTACAGTTGCATCCCAAATGGCAGTTGATGAAGACGCATGAGCTTATCCAGTTGTTAAGTCCCGACATCCAGGACGCGCAGCAACGCACTACGGCACATACACAAAACCGTAACAATCGCGACGAATCACAGAGGGATGGGGCTCGTGACTATACCAATAGCCGCCCCAACCCACAGACGACGCGACAGCAGGCACAAAACTGGGCACAGCGACCACAACCGACAGCACCTACTACATGCGCTGGATGTCAGGCACAAGCTCCACCAGGGGCGCGTCATATTCCACGCTGTCATCATTTCCGGGTAGTTCCACCAGGAGGTGCGGAGGGCAGGACACGTTCGTATGACAACAACAAGGCATCACGAGACACACAACCAACCTATAGACCACCCGCAACCCGAGCTTCAGGGCAGGGTCAGGTTACTAACCCGAGCAGAGAATTGGCTACCTCTCGCCCGACACCTCAAGTACAGGTGAACGCGATTACGTCCGAGGACAGTTTCGTACCATCGTCGGCAGCGACAGAGGTACATATCAATACGATACTCACGGAAGACTTCGACCCTACAGTGATGGAAACAGACCAGGACCAAGGTGATTGGGAGTCGGTGAACGACCAAGCATGAGAGGTGAGGGTGTCTGAGTCGGATAGGAGCTTCACATTTGTTAACACTATTAGGGACGTAATGGCGATACAGGTTTGGCAAAGTGATGATCCTAAGAAAGAAGGTGTCGGTTAAGGGTATAGACATTGATCATGAGAAACAGGCGAAGTTTATTGACTGGCCTACCCCACTACGGTACAAAGATATAGCCTCTGCCTTAGGGTTGGCGAATTATCTCCATGAGCATCTCCCTAACTTTGCGAATACGGTTGTACCGTTGCGCGAATTTTGCAAGCTCAAACCGAAAGAGTTGATCGGCGACCGATGGGAGGAAAGGCACGCACTAGCGTGGCAAGCCATGAATGATGCTGTGGTTAATGCGGTCGCTTTGCACTTTCCGGTCGACGGTATACCCTTGAACTTGGAAACCGACGCGAGCGACTACGGGTTGGGGGGAGCGCTATTCCAATGGGTCGACGGGAAGAAACACTATTTAATGTTCTTTAGCAAAACTCTGAACCACGCCCAACAAAACTATGCCACACCAATGAAGAAGTTACTCGCCCTAGTATATGGTCTCACACATTTTAGGGAGTATTTGGATGGACAACGGTTTGCAGTTTTCACCGACCACAAGGCCCTGGTATATATGAACACACAGCTCAAGCTTAACCCGATGCTTCAGAGATGGTATCACATCATCGCGCCGTTCAACTTCACCATATCACACATACCAAGAGAGACGAATGTGCTACCGGACATGTTGAGTAGAGTGCATGAGAGAACAGCGGAGCAGGACGAACCTGAAATACTGTATACGGATTGTTGGCAGTTATTCCCTAGTTACTTTGAACAAGCGCAACAACACTTCGGTCCGAACGACGTAGATGTATTTGCAGATCCACCCAACGCTCAGCACCCTAGATTCTGGACTAAGGACGAGGGAGAAGGCGCGTTTGCTCACGACTGGTCGACAGTTGACGGATGGATGAATCCACCTTGGAAACAGATATATAGGATGTTACGCAAGATACGAGCGGACGGCGCATGGGCAACGGTATGTTTGCCATGGATACCAAGAGCACCATGGTTTGACTTGTTCAAGCAGTTATTGCAAACAGATCCACTATTGGTCCCACGAAGACCCCATGCATTCCTCAAGCATGCCAAGTACGCCTGCGGGAAGACACCTTGGGGACATACGGTAGCAGCACGGGTGGGACCCCCCAACGGGTTCAAGTTGGACCCCCTGTTTTCACAGCGACTTGGGTATGCAGAACCAAAGCACATAGAGTATATCATGTGCTTAGACACAGCGCGCGAAATCTCAGTGGCAATGGCGGACGCCGAAAGTCAACCAGCGTTTGAACGGGCGACTCCGGCAGAGCAACAGCGACGCACACGGCTTACACAAGCGCAACATGAACAGGGACATCATGGGGCAGCAGACACAGTCCAAAAACTCCGTCAGGACGGTCATGTATGGCCTGGGGCACTAGAATTAGCCACAGAGGTAAAGCGACAATGTGCCACGTGTTTGGGCAAGGATACGCTTCGTAAAGGCTTCCACCCGATGATTAGTATTGACGCACGCTATCCATGGGACCACATCCAAGTGGATTACATCCCAATGCCACTGGAGTCCAGACGCAACAACAATTATATACTTCACGTCTTGGACATCGCCACTGGCTACTCCGTCCTCCGAGCCACACCGGACAAGACGAAGGAGACCACGGCACAGACACTCGTAGAGATTTTTGGCGAGCATGGTTTTCCACGGCTGATCCAAACGGACATGGGGAATGAATTCACCAATAAAATAGTGGAGTGTTTGGTGCAAGAAGTGAGGATGTTACATAAGGTGTCGCCACCATATCAACCCCAAGTGCTAGGCGCAGCGGAACGCCGTCATAAGAAAATTACACGTTTCATTAGACAATGCTGCGAGGCGGTTCCTCTACGTTGGGACGAACGCCTTCCGTTTACGATGCTGTACCAGAACCTTCGGATATCCCGCCGCCATAAGAGTGCACCGTTCAGCGTATACTTTGGCCGCCGTCACGTCCCATTTGCCGATTTCACTGACGAGTTGCCTAACTCCCAGCCAATAACGAATGACACCTGGGCACAACGGTTAGACCAGTTGCAGGATACCATCCTGCCGACTCTCCACCACATTACCAAGAAGTATACAAGCAAACTAACGAAGACATTTGATCGCCTACATGCTCATGACTTGGTACACTTCGATGAAGGGGACGTGGTTATGGTACGTTCAGAAGGCCGCACAACCAAGGCCATGCGGCCATTGTTTGGGCCATATGTTGGAAAGGCCAGACACGGGCAACGCTATGAGTTAACGAACAAAGATGGTTCCGTTCCGCCAGAATTCAAGGACAAACCGGTACGGGTGGAACTCCTTCGGTTGGTGCATAGACGCAAAGACCCTCCACTTAACAATGAATTGTGGACTGAAGGAGGTGTTGAGTTTCGCCACATTATTACACACCGTAATAATGACAAGACAGGGAAATTGGAATACCTGGTGAGATGGCGGAAAGGCGAACCAACGTGGGAAACAGCGGAAAAATTTGATGATGCCAACGATATCGTGGCCTACCATAAAGCTTCGCAAACACGGACACGTAAGCGCCAACGCGCCCAAATCTAATGTTAATTATATGACGACCATTTGGTCGAACGGTACGCTCGAACCGTGATCATCGAGCCCTCCAGCTCTCAGAGGTTAAATGATAGCGCACTGCTCTAGCTCTCAGAGGATAATTGCCACAGAGGATAATAGCCAGCACACTGCTCTAGCTCTCGGAGGATAACTGCCAGCACATAAGGTACTTTGGTATTTCTTATCATTTCTGAAACTGGCACACTGCTTCGGCCAGTGTTTCAGTTTGGGGGGGGTTGTGGTCAGAATACTATATAGTACGTAGTTTATTTGATTATTTTAGAGTTTATTTGATTATTTTAGGTCTATTATAAGTTTTAAATTTTATCAGAATAATATGATAAACCGGGTTTTAGGGTTTTGCTGTTTTTACAGCACATGACTGATGACTCATTTTGAGAGTCATTAATCTTAGGATTACTGTTTACAATTATTAATAAATGAACAACGTCCCCCTCCCTGAGGAGGAAGAAAGTTGAGATATAGCTACTCGACGTGTACTTACTACACGGGTGTTTCCGCGAAGAACATACGACACCATAGTCTGCTGAAGGCATGGGTGGGACTTATGTACTAATTACCACCATGAAAGGGACGTAGTGTGGGGCACGGCATAGACCTGTCCAGGCAAACAGTGTCGAGACTTGTTGAGATGAGAGACGATCTCTAGGGCGGAGGAGTATTTATACCCGACCTATTTCGAGGATATCTACATACATTTCCAAACCTCCATTGATCCACACAACGTACTATTATGTCCAACCTACGTCAAAGCCGTCGGCAGCAACATCTGACCCCTGAACGTCGAGAGGAAGACGATATAGACCGTCGAGGAACTAAGCGCCGCCAGTCTTTCACGGGCTATACCGACCACCGAGCTGAGAAAGAACGGATGGAACCACAGGATGGAGCGGTTCATAGCCAAGCAGCGGCTACCGATAGACAGGCATCCAAGACACCCAGGGGTGCTATCAGCCTAACGCAGGAAGACGTTGTAATTAACGACGAAGCCAAGGGAGATTCCGACCGGCGTGCGGACAGGGAGCAGTTCATTACTAGTGAACAGGTAGCTAGTGATGGACTGCCCTCCCGTCGTCTTCGGGTATCTCTGGAGACTCATCTTCCGGTATCGAGCAACCACGCCTACCACCTCACAAGCGCAGGCGTGACCGCCGTCGTTCCAACATCAAGGGTGGTACGGCGCGGGGCCAGTCGTCGACACAGAAGCTAACCGAGCGTATGGCCCAACAACAGTCGGTCTTAGAGAAATACGAACAGAGGTTGCAGCATACATCGTCCGAACTTCCCACGACCTTGCTGTACGCAAACGAAGCGTCGACTAGTCCACACAAACGGGAGCGTATGGCACAAGGTAGGGAGGACAATCCCAAGTTTAGGATCCAAGGCCCTTCACAACAACACCATGGCCTCGGGTACAAATCATCTGGGTCAGCAGGTCAACTCTCCGAGGAGGAAGATACTTTGTCGTCTCTAGAGGAGGATCTGTCATTTCAAGAATTCGCACGTGATCAAGTGTTGGTCAAGTAAAACCCACATGGGAAGGAAGCACTCAAGAATAGGCAAGACTAGATGAGCACGACCTATCGCCAACATCAACAGCGACAGTCTTTCGAGAGGGAAGCCGCCAGTGAGCATGTACAGACTCCCAAGCGAACGGAGACAACGTCGCTCACACCTCCACCCACACCGGCAAGTATTGTGAAGAGTCGACAGAGGTTACATGCATGTATACTACACCTGAGCGACGAGGTATGCCGAGCAATAGAGGATAATAATACGGCTCGAGCTGAAGCCCTTAGGGGTGCGATTGAAAAACTTCGAGCCACGCTAGAGTCCCGTCCAGTGGAAAGGCGTCCGGTACCACCACCACGTGCATGGCCCGACTGGCCCTCGAATAGATACCACCTCCATGACATCATGGAACGGGATACGAGAGGGGCTCTACTGGAGGATTTTAAGAACGCGCAGATCGCAGGGTTAGATGAGAGTTGGAGCCTTACATGGTTTCACAAGGTATTATCTTACTTTAAGGCTGAGAAGTCAATATTGGATTACATACGTGACAATTCTGAACGATTGAAGATGTGGACGCCACAACCTAAATCGAACAGATTTGCTCACATGAGAGGCAAGCCACTGTTGATCCCGCGTTTCGTAAGCTTGCCAAGGGCCACAGTCGAAACATGCATACCCCCATCATGGAACAAATGACACAGCTCATAGAGAATCACAGAAGGGCACGTGAACGGTGCCAGACGGATGCAGATTTCCAATAGAATTTATTAAACCATTGCATTGTTCAACTGTTAGAGGAAGCTCTCAACGGCCGTACGTATGAACGCACTCTACAGTTGCATCCCAAATGGCAGTTAATGAAGACTCACGAGCTTCTACAGTTGACGAGTCCCGACATTCTGGACGTACCGCAGCGCACTGCGGCGCGATTCCAGAACCGTAATAATCGCGAAGGTCCACCAAGTAATGTGGCTCGTGACTACACCAATAGCCGCCCTAACCCGCAGACGGTTCGACGACTGTCACAGAACTGGGCACAGCGACCCCAGCCGACATTACCTACAACGTGTGCTGGATGTCAGGCACAAGCACCGCCAGGTTTACGTCATATTTCGCGAGATGTCACCATTTCCGAGCGTCGCCTCCAGGGGGTACGGACGGCAGGGCGCGGCCGTATGACACCAACCGCACATCACGAGACGCACAACCGGCACACAGACCGTCCGCAGCTCCAACCTTAGGACAGGGACAGCCCAACAACCCGGGCGAAGACTTGGTCACTACACGCCCGACACCGCATGTACAGGTGAACGTGATTACAAACGGCGACAGTTTTGTACCACCATCAGCAGCTACAGAGGTACACATCAACACGATACTCACGGAAGACTTCGAGCACACAATGCTGCAACCAGACCAGGACCACGGTGTATGGGAGGCTGTTACTGATCAAGCATGAGATGCGAGGGTGTCTGAGTCGGATATGAGCTTCACATTTGTTAATACTATAAGGAAAGTGATGGCGATACAGGGCCCATTACTGTCTTCTGATAACCGAGTTTATATTCAAGTGCAAGTTAATGGACGTACGTTCAAAGCGTTGTTATACACGGGGGCAAACAGAAGTTGTATCTCAGCGACATCTGCAGACCTCCTCGGCCGCCCAATAACTCCAGCACCATCTGGGTCATTCATATACTTAGCTGACAAGGCGGTTCGAACTCCTCGACTGGGGACGACGGAAGTGGTACCCATTCGGTATGGGACCAAGATTATCGACGGGTCACTGGAATTGATGAATTTACCGGCAGGAATAGACATCATAGTGGGACAAGATATGTTGAAAGGCTTGGGTCTATACATAGGCAGCATCCAATCTCCATTTGTACCAATAGACCCCACATAACTCGACGAGCTCCTTGAACTCATCCCACGACGACAGGCACCGAACACGACGGAACCCGCCGATGCACGTCAACGGCTGGCACAAGATTTAGAGGCGAACGCGCAGCTTGCTGACAAGGCGCGATGTCATCTGGAAGGGAGCGAAGTTACCAATCCGGTAACCCGTGAACAGGCGATGCACATGCGCAGATCAACGCGTAACTTTGTATCGGACCGTGGCTACCATACGTGGAGGAGCAGGCAAAAAGGTGGTTGGCGGATTTGGTGATCACGAAGCGGACGACACCGACGACTGTTAACCTCCCGCTCCTTGCGGTCCCGACGTTTGATGCAGAAAAGAACGTGAAGAAGGTACGCGTTTGTTCTGTCAACGCGCTTATTCCGGACGACCAGTTCTTGATTACCAAGGTTAACGAACTCATCTTCGCCTCAAGAGTAAGAAGTACTACACTACGCTGGATATATCGGCGGCATATCATAGGCTACCGATCCACCCCGATTCACAATATCTGTTTAGCTTTACACACGAGCGTTATCAGTACTCGTTTACATCGGCGTCGTTTGGACTCCATGTGCTCACGCAACAGTTCCAGCGAACCTTGAGCACAATACTGGACGGCTTGCCGGTCCACCACTATATCGACGATATAGTTATTGCCAGCGACGACTATGACGAACATATTCGAACGGTGAAGAAGGTGATTCAACGTTTAACATATCACAGTTTTAAGCTCAACCCCGCCAAGCGCCACCTTGCTATTCCCGAAGTGATGATCCTAGGGAAAAAGGTGTCGGCACAAGGCATACATATTGATCATATGAAGAAGACCAAGCTTATCGACTGGCCTACCCCACTACGGTACAAAGACATAGCCTCTACCTTAGGATTGGCGAACTATTTTCATGATGTAGTCAAGAAGTCCCTGATAGGGTTTATTTAGGATTAGGGTTTATTTGATATTTTTTTAACTACGTTTTGAACTGGGTTTATCCAATCAGGTTAGAACTGATTTACGGAAAACACATGATCAAAATGATAGTCACAGGATTTAGTTCAATAAATGAACAACGTCTCCCCTTGTACGAGGGGAGTACGTTGAGATACAGTTATCCTCGACCACTTACTACATTTTTAACTGACTTAGATGTTGTACATTAATTGAACTATTCCTGAATAGGGGACGAAGTTAGTAGGGACTATAGCATCCCGTGTAAAAGTATAA